CAGTTCTAATACATAATGTGAAACCCTCTAGGCCCAGGAGTCTCTGAATCACCTGGGAACCAGTTAGAAATAAAGTCTTGGGCCCCACCCCAGACTTATTTAATCAGGTGCTCTGGGGGTGGGGGCCCATCAAAATGAGCCTTAGAAACCTTCCATGCCATCCTGGGGAGTGTGGAAGTTTGAGAATCACTTGTCTTTGCAGTGTTTTCCAAAGTTCTTTGCTATGGAAGCTTTTCTCTCTTTTTTCCTTTCTTCAAGTGTGAGGCAGGACTGATGATCTGGGCTGGGAAATGCGGCTGGAGTGTGTGCGTGCACGTCATGTGCACATGTGTGTGTTTAGGAGATGTGCAAGTGCTAGTAACTTCTCTTGGAGGGACCTGTCATTGAAGACTATTCATTGGTGGATGATTTCAACACCACCTGCCTTGAAAAAACAATTTGAAGCAGCTCAAACAGAATGCTGGTTGTGGATTCTTCTTGGACATTTTGGGCCCTTCCTATTTGCACCAGGCTTACCTGCGACACCAATGTGCTGATTTATTTAATTTCAGGACTGAGATATCCCTGGATGATGACAAATGCAAGAGCAACAATGAAAACAGCCAATAACCAAACCTTTAAGTCTGTGGAGCAAGAGGAAGACAATGCACTGCTGTTTGCTGCTGATTGTAAATTAGTAAGACTTTGTAGCAGAGAGGTTGTATGAGTCTCAAACAAATAAATTTGTTGCTGAGCATTCAATTGCAGCTGATGGCAACCCCGTGTGTTGCAGAGTATAACTGCTTCCTAGGACTTTCTTGGTTGTAATCTTCACAGAAGTAGATTGCCAAACATTTCTCCTGAGGTGCCTCTGAGTAGGTTTGAACTACCAAATATTTGGTTAATACTTGAGAGCTTAACCATTTGCATCGCCCAGAGACCCATTGAGTTAGAGTGTACTGATGTTTAACATGTGGTACAAGGGCTTCTGGTCTGAGTCTGAGCGAGACAGGCAGCCTCCCCTCAGCCAGGCAGGATGAAGGTTCAGATGGAATCAGTAGTGGCTGAACTGGGCTGGGTTAGGAGCTTGTGTGGATCTGGCTGGACCATCTAATCTACGGAAGCCCTGAAATGTACCTATTCTGACAGAGAATGACTATTTTGAAGCTTTTATTGCCAGCTAATGGTAGATTGGAGTCCTGGTGTGGTGCTGTGGGTTAATGCACCAGATTGCAAAGCCGTTTGAACTGCAAGTTCGGCTACTGAATCTCACCAGCTGCTCCTCGGAAACCCTATACAGGGTCACTGTGGGTTGAAATCCACTCAATGGCACTTAACAACAACAACAACGGTAGATTGGGGGAAATATTAAAAAGTCATCAACATTTGTTAAACAACTATATACCTTCTTTCAGCTCTTAGAGGTGTTAGGGACTTTAGATATTTTTTAGCCCTGTGTCTTCACGCTACAGAGGAAAGGATGGAAGGACAAAGAGGAGATGAAGTTGAGAAAGTACCAGAACATATGTCTCAGCTATATAATTTGATTACTGAATGGATACAAAAATTCCTAAATTGCAATTTGAAATCCCGGTACAATCAACGTACTTTAAAGAGCGTTCAGGTTCCTATCCCTAACTCCAGCTCCAGCTATGGTCATTGGCACATATGGACACTCAGTAAATACGTACGGATGGGTTTTTCTTTGAATGAATATAAAGAGTTTATTCGGTGCGTATTTGGGTATACAACAACAAATATTAAACAACTTTTTTTTTGTACTTTTTTTTGTACAGGACAGAAAACTGCCTGCACATGCTATGTCCACTTTTGGAACACAGATTTTAACAAGTATTAATGCACAAAATCTTACATATCATGCAACTCTATGCCAACATTCCAACTTTCTTCCATGCAACAGATAGGAAGATCTAAATGGAAACCTAGCTAAGTCTTAAACACTTTTCCAATAGCAAGTATAAGTATATGTTGTTTAGGGGTAACCAATCTTAATATCTCCTTGGACACAATATTCACGTGCCAAATGCAAAGACAGAAGGACTCATACGTATACAGATAAGACATTTCTTATTTGAACAACACAAAAGACAACATTATACTTCCACAAGTCCTGTTCTTTACACAAGAAGCCACAACGATCATTTAAACATGAGACACAAATGGAATTGAAGAGAAAAAATCTAAACTTGAGGATAATGGTGTTTTTTTTTTTGTTTGTTTTTTTTAAAGTTATCTGTCCTGACTGGGGTTAACAACATAACTCAGTTTCTACACACAAAGTACAGCACAAGAACTTGACTACAACACTACAAATCTAAACAACAACAACAACAAAATTGGTAAAGTCACATGAACACTATTAACCTTGAGCCTGAGATGCCAATTCCCATTCAACCCTGAAGTTGGTTGATTTGGATTAAGTGACAGAGTCAATAGAACCATTGAATTTCAGAAATCATACGTTGCACTTTTACCAAAGTAAAGAATACATCTGAATCAAGCGTAGATAGAAAACATGAAGACAAGAAAACAGCACAATTCACATAATTTTCTTTGCCCTACAAAACATGTAAGCATTTAATTTTGTTTTGTTGTTTTTTAGAAGAGCAATTGTGGTCTGTTAAATTTTCTTGGTTGGACAGCAAATTTGTCTCAGCATTAGTGCTGTGAAATGTTTTTGGTTTGTCATCCCCCAAAGCAGAGGTGAGATAGATCATGAGTAAATTAGACAGTCCTTCTCCCGGATTGAGTTCACCATTAATGCTTGGTATTCTTTGGCCCAAGCTCAATCTAAATTAGGGGGCTTAAGAATGGATGATATGATGGGCTAATAGCAAATCCCATAGTGGACTCTACAGGTTTGTTTGGTAAACATCACAAACAGATTTGAACTTTTGGGTGAAGGACTGCTTAGAAGAATTCAACAGCACCTGGAGGTAAGGTTCTGTTTCAGAGCCCTTGTTTTGCCCTCACTGGCTACGTTGATTCATTGTGGCTCATGGATTTGCCTCCGTTCAGCACGCCGGAGACACTTCTGCTTTTGGTGGGGGTCCCACTTCCAGATCGGGAGAATTCCGTGAGGTCGTGGAGGGACGGCTCCTTGTACATGGCCACTGAAAAGCACAGAAAGACAGTGTAAAAGGCTGTGGAATGAGCACAGCTCATTTCTTCTTCAGTTTTCTTCTGGTTATTGGGCTTCTATGCTTGCAGGCAAACACTAATACATGGAATTCGGGAACTAAGGCGTGGACTTGATCAGATTAAGTGGAATCTACAATTGTGTGCAAAGAATTCAGATGGTGAGCTTCTACCACCAGTGACTATATATAAGAGGATTAATGAAAATACTCAAATAGAATCTACAGCGGACTGTGCAAGGCAAATGTGAAATTTCAAAACCTTGTAAAACCCTGATTTCTATCATACTGTAAAAATGAAACTCTATGAGTCTAAGTGTTAGCACATTTCTTGATTTAACAAATGGTAACTATTATTATGGTTGCGTTGTAAACTGTATTACCATACAAGTATGGAGCACTTACAGCATGATCAATTTTAAGTGTCTTCTACACATTATCATATTTAATCCATATAAAAAATCCTATGATGCATTATATGCCCATTATATAAGTAAGGAACTTGAGGCATGCACGCAGGCTAAATAACCTGTCACGACCATCTGGTAACTACAAGAGGAAACTGAGATTCAAATTCAAAAAGTGCTCTAAGTACAGTGATGGCTGGATTTGAATCGGGCAGTGTGCCCCTGCTGTAGGCCCCTATTCCAACTCCAGGCTGCCAATCCCTTTAGGGTCTTGGTTTACATTTCCTTTTACTCCTCTACCTCCTCTTACGGCTTTCACCCTTTCTTCTTTAGTCTAGTCCTATCCTCCAGCCTTTCTAATTTGCTAATAATGACTAGAGTCCTGGTGTGGCACTATAGGACCAGCACTGGACTGCTCACCGCAAGGTCAGTGGTTCAAACCCATCAGCCGCTTCTTGGAAACCTTATACAGGGTCACTATGAGTCAGAACTGACTTGATGGCACTTAACAAGAATAATGACTTGTGAACAAAGCTATGGGGAAAAATGGTTGTGATAGCATTGTTGGGCCTTGAGTGAGGACCTAAGAAGGACCCTGCTAAGTGTTCTGTGCACACATTTTAACATCTATGTGTCTGCCAAGGACCACCCGGGCATAATGTGACATTCTTAGCAGTAGTGAGTTGCCAACTAAGCCATTTTCACATAATTAAGATGTTAATTATGCATTATTGTTGTTAAGTGCCATCGAGTCTATTCTGACTCATAGTGAACCTGTATAGGGTTTCTGAGGCTGGAAATTTTGATAGGAACAGAAAGCCTCATCTTTTATTTGCATAGCAGAAGATGGGCTTAAAGCTCCAACCCTGTGGTTCAAAGTCCAGTGCTTATCCTGTGGAGACACCATGCTCCTCATTATTCTGCATAGATGTACAATAAAAATTTTAAATCAGGAAGTTAGATGGCATCATCAATGCCTTAATGTTTTTGTGTATTAGAAAATCTTACTAAAATGGTATAGCACTGTAGGATAAGCACCAGACCATATGATTGGTCATCAAAAAAAAACTGTGTGCTTAAATGGAAACTTCTGTTTAAATACCTTAATGTGGATGAACGATGTTTCATTTCAAAAGCATGATAAAGAATGAATATATGCTATCCCAATGCTCATTTACCTTTCAGTGGTTTGGGCAGAAAGTGAGCTGCAGGCTTGTTCTTCTTCACATGGTTGCCTTTCATGATCTCTCCTTCTTTGTTCAGACCCAGATACCACCCTCGGCCTGACTGCTGCTGACGGTATATCATTGATGAATACGTCACATAATAATTTTCAAACACCGATTCTTTGAATTTGCACTCAGGTGTGAAATGTTCCTGCAACCAAATGAAAGAATAAATAAAAGTTCAAGATTCATAGTTATGAATTTCACAGGGAACCTTTTAGAAGGTTAGGATATACTTTGTTAAAGTTTATATGACAAGCATTTTGTTTTAAGAATGTAAATGATGTCACTGGAAATCGAAAGACTATAACATTTCATATGATGCTGTACAAAAAAATCCGAGGGGAAAGTAGTCCTGATCAATGATTTGCTCCCTTTGTAATAACGCAATGGAACCAATCATCAGTCATCTAAATGTAATGTATCACACAATCCATGAGCCAAAGATGGAAAAGAAAAGTCCAGACCTGTCATCTAGACCTCTGTTCCCTTTAGGATTAAATATGTGAAAAGAAACATTCAGCCCTCTTGCTTCATTTTCATGGATTCTTGAGATACCTTGTTTGAATGGTTCTCAAGGGCTGGAGGCTGCAAACTGCTGTCCTGAGCAGCTCTCTAGGACTAGTTTTTCCTTTTTAGGTAAGCCAAAGGATTTCTTTTTTAAATCATTGAACCTAGACTTAGAAAGGAAAATTAAAAAAAAACAAAAACAAAACACATTCAGCCCCACCCTGTCTTTGTTTTACAGTAACATTTATAAGCAAATCGATACTGAAGTTCAGAATTTACAGTAATTCTACAAGCAGACAGGAGCAAGCAGCCCAAGGGACTGAAATGTGATTTTTTGTCCCAGGCTTGGTAATGTCGTCTTTGGACTGGCCCATACAAGTGAAGGGCTCTTGACTCAAGATGATCTCATAAAAAAAAGAAACAAACAAAAAGTTGCTTTGGTATCATAAATAGCCACTAAAAAGTGACAATCCAAGCCATGATATTTTCAATAACCTCATATATATGTGAAAGCTGGACAGTGAATAAGGAAGACCGTAGAAGAATTGGTTCATTTGAGTTATGGTGTTGCAGGAGAATATCAAAAGTACCATGGATTGCCAAAAACACAAACAGATCTGTGTTGGGAGAAATATAGCCAGAATGGCCACATTTTGTCTCTTATACTTCAGACATATTATCAGGAGGGACCAGTTCCTAGAGAAGGATTCCATGTTGAGTAAAGTGGAGGGTTTGGAATAAAAGAGGAAGACCCTCCCCCCCCCCAATGGGATGGATTGGCACAGTGGCAGCAGCAATGGGCTCAGGACTGGTCAGTGTGTATCCTACAGAACTACACCAGGACTCCATTATACGGAAGAGCTTTAAATATTACCTGGAAAACATTATCCTGAAACTTGATAATATTCTCAGAAATTTCAAAAGAAAACCTTGTATAAATATAGCAAGATTTCTGAGACAGGTCTTATCTGCACCATCTCTTAAGAGTTCCACCTTCTTTTATTTTCTTATTTGATGGGATTCTGAGAAATGCCCATAACCCAAGCCACAGCATCCAAATCACTCTCAGTTACTTCACCAAAGAGGCAGCTTTTCTCGGAGAGAACATTAAGCACTTGGCTAATTTTCTTTCTTTGTTCAGGGACCCATCATCCATTTTTACAAGTAAAATTCAATGATAATAATTAGGTTCACCATATTGTACAACCATCACAACCTCCAGCTCCAATTTTTTCCATCGCCTTAACAGAAGTTCCGTGCCCCTTAAACAATACCTCCCAATGACCCCCTTGTTGTTGTTAAGTACTGTCTAGTTATCTCTGACCCATAATGACCCTATATAGGGTTTCTGAAGAGTAGCTGGTGAGCTTGAACTGCTAACCTTGCAGTTCAAACTGCTTTGCAGTCTGGTGCATCAACCCACAGCACCACACCAGGACTCTAATTTCCCCCTTGTCCAAGCCCTAGTAACCACTAATACATTTTGGGATCTATGCATCTGCCTTGTGGAAGAATGAAGAGGCTTTCTGCTCCTATAGAAGCCTCGGAAGCCCTATACAGGGTCATGATGAGTCTGAACCAATTCATCAATGCTTAACAACAATATGCATTTGCCTATACTAGACACAGTATTTCATGTAAATGGGATCATATGGTCTCATTTGAAGGATTTATTTCACTCGGCATGTTTTCAAGGTTCATCCAAAAGTATATCTGTCTTTATTACTGAATAATATTGCATTGTATGAACGGACTACATTTCATTTTTCCATTCATTTGTTGATGGATGTTTAGGTTCTTCCCACTTTTGTGCTATTGTGATGAATAATGTTGCAATGGGCACTGGTGGACAGGTTTCTTTTGGCATTTCTGCACTGAATTCTTTTGGGGATGTACCTGGAAGGGAAATTGCTGGATCATATGGTAATTCCAGAGTGCTGGTGTGTCTCTGTAGGATAAGCAGTAAACTGCCAACCAAAAAGCAGGTTGATTCAGTCATTCAAACCCACCAGCAGCTCCTCAGAAACCCTATACGGAGTCGCTATGAGTCAGAACCAACTCAACAACACTTTACAACAACACAGTAATTCTATGTTTTACATTTTGTGAAACCTCCAAATCATTTTCCACAACAGTTACATCATTTGAAAGTCCTCTTCAGCAATGGCTGTTGTTGTTGTTGTTAGGTGCCATCAAGACGGTATCGACTCATAGCGACCTTATGCACAGCAGAACGAAACACTGGCCGATCATGGGCCAACCTCACTACTGTTGCCACGCTTGAGTCCATCAATGCTGCCACTTGGCCAATCCATCTCGTTGGGGGTCTTCCTCTTTCTCTCTGACCCGCAACCTCACCAAACATGATATCTTTCTCCAGTGACTGGTCCCTCCTGACAACATATCCGAAGTATGAGAGACGAAGTTTGGCCATCTTGGCCTCCAAGGAGCACTCTGGGCTGTGTGTACTTCTTCCAAATGGTTAAGGGTGACAAACTCTCCAAACACTGAAAATGCTTTTTTTTTGTGGGGTAGGAATTCTGGACATTTGAAAAGCTAAGCTGTGACTACAAAGAAATGTAACCAAAAGTCTCCACATTTCTTCTACCAGTGAGGAATCACTTCAAAGAATACTCCTAAATCAATATTTAGGAAAAACGTTTTCATCCTTGGTAAGTGGATTTGACTTTCACTGGGAGTCGGAGACCCTGTGTAAATAAATCTGGTGAAGAATGCACGTGATTGCAGGGAGTGATGTGATTCAGTTTCAAAAACAATGTATAAGATGATGATACGGGATTGTTGTATATTCCAATGCAGGCACGCCACAAAGGGCTGCATTAAATGTCTCTTATGATTCAGTCATTCAACAAACCTTCTCTGTGGACCGACCCATTATGTTTTTGTTGCTGTTGTTAAATGCCTTAGAGTCAGTTCTGACTCATAGCAACCCTGTATAGGGTTTCCAAGAAGTGCCTTGTGGTTTGAACTATTTCGTTGGTGGTCCAGTGCTCATCTATAGTGCCACACCAGGACTCCATTATGTGCTTGGGCAGTGCTAAAAATTCATAAACTAAGATGCAGCCTCAGACAGTGTAGCAGTAGTCAAAAGCACGTACCCAAATAGCTACGTTACAACCCTTGCTGGTGTTAAGTGCCATCAAGTTGATTCTGACTCATGGTGACCCTATATAGGGTTTCCGAGGAGCAGCTGGTGGGTTTGAACTGTTGACCAGACCTTATGGTCCGCAGTCCCATGCTGAACCTACAGCACAACACCAGGATACAAGGTATGCTATCATAAGGACACAAAGGGAGGCATAAAGGAAATGGTGTGTGAGAACAGAGGAAGCCAGACTTCATTCTGACTGAGGGGCTGGGGAGGACTTTGCAGAGAGGATGTCATTTTTGCTGAGCCCTGAAGGATGGGTAGGAATTCAATAGGAAACAAAAACCGAAGACTACTATTGGAAGCACAGAGCTTCAGTTTCGTTGAACCTCTACTTCCAGCTTTCCTGTCTTAGTACTCAGACACCACCATCCTGGTAACTGCTACCACTTGCAACTTCAGAGGACTCTCAGGTCCATTTACATGCTCTCCCACTGAGGACCCGCAGTCTGCATCTTTCATTCTCATTGCCACCTCTGGAGTTTGTATCCTTAGGTCCTCTAATCTGGACTGCTGTAATGACCTCCCCTAAGAGTTCTCTCCCATTTGGCTAGCAGACCTGCCTTCCTAAAGCAAAGTTCCCCTGCTCAGGAACTTGTGATTGTTGTGTCTTCTTTAGTGCAAACAACAATATATGTGGCACTGAAAATTCTCAATTCAGTCACCATGGTGTCTTTCAGTCTCACCCTCCACCAGAGAACAGATCTGTGCCTTACAGATGCCATTCATTTCCTTTGTTTAGAATGCCATTCCGCTGTCTACTGACTGGCTTCCCTGTCATCTTTCAAATCCTAACTCAAATAGCAAATCCTCTGGAATCATGTATGATCCCACCCCTTCAGTACCTGTGCGTTCATAAACTCTATCAACATCTCGAGCTGGTCCTGTGATGCGGACTTACACATGACTGGCTCCAGATGGCAAAGACAGTATCTTCCATAGTTCCAAATCCCCCCCACCCGCCCTCACCCCGATAAAGACAGGCCATATTGCCTAGTACATGGCAGACCACTGAAATTATCGTTCATCTTCTAAAGTCTGAATTTCTGAGATTCAAATATTGGAAATTTCAGAAATCTGAAGCACCAAGCAATAAAAAGTTTGCAGTGAATATTGTTTAATATCCTAAAATTAAATTAACTGTACTGTACTTTTGCAACTAGTGCATCCGTGTAAATGATGAGCATACCATATAACAGTTGGAAATTATGTAAAAAGAAAGTTCTGGCATAACTTGCCCAAGCAAACACGCACGGTACATCTTGTGATATTTCCAAAAATTGAATGTTGGCCTTCTTCACCCTCATTCAATAATCTGAAAGTATACTTTTGATCATATTTGTATAATAATGGTATAAGCCAAGGTTAAGAAGTCATGGATTGAGGGTCATTGGAAAAGAAACAACTGAAACTGTGTTTGCTTTGGGGCAGCAGTTTGCAGCTAGGCCTGAGAGGGATGGAGTTTTTCTTGT